AACCAGGCTTTAGTCTTCTCGTGGGGCACACGCTCTGATGCTTCCCTGCCCACTCTTGACTTCCTATATGCTTCCTGATTAAAACACTGTCACAGATAAATCATGACTCTGCCTGTTAGGACCATTTTCTACTTTCTTTAACGAACAGTTTGGAGCCATCAGATTAAAAAGATGAGCAAGTTCTGGAGAATTATATACTCACATGTAAATATACGTATACAAGTGTGTCATATCTCCCAACTCTATAACTAGTCATGGATCTGGGAGTGTTCTCTGCACACTTCCTCCCTATGCACTGCTTTGTTTATATATTTTTATATATTTTCGGTCAGTCACTTCCAGTCGGTCACTGGATTACGTAGGTAACTTCCTAATGAATAGATTTTAGGAGGATTGGAGGAGTGAGCCTGGTTTTCCTTCAACATAGGCACTAATTGGTTGGAAATTGAAGTTGTCTCAGAGATGAGTTTCAATTTTAAATGCAGCGGGCATCCAAAATGTAGTTTGTGGGAGTTCCCACCTAGGCACATAAAATGAGTAGAGCCCTTCAGGCTCCTGAGACTAGTGATAATCTGCCCTTGGCTCAGAGGGACATAACTCAGCAAACTGGAGTGAACAAGGAAAGTGCTTGATCTATTTTCATATTTGACAAGCACAACCTTTTCAAAACCATGAAGTGAAACCAATTTACCCAGTGAAAGTCAAGGAAGTCAAAAAGCAACCTACGGAATGGGAGAAGATAATTGCAAATGTCTTATCAGATAAAGGGCTAGTATCTAAAATCTATAAAGAACTTATCAAACTCAACACCCAAAAAGCAGAAAGACATAAACAGACATTTCTCCAAAGAAGACATCCAAATGGCCAATAGACACATGAAAATGTGCTCAACATCACTTGGCATCAGGGAAATACAAATCAAAACCCCAGGGAGTTACCACCTCACACCAGTCAGAATGGCTAAAATTAACAAGTCAGGAAACGACAGATGTTGGCGAGGATGTGGAGAAAGGGGAACCCTCCTACACTGTTGGTGGGAATGCAAGCTGGTGCAGCCACTCTGGAAAACAGTATGGAGGTTCCTCAAAAGTTAAAAATAGAGCTACCCTAGGACCCAGAAATTGCACTACTAGGGATTTATCCAAAGGATACAAACATAGTGATTCAAAGGGGCACCTGCACCCCAATGTTATAAAGCAGCAATGTCTATAATAGCCAAACTACGGAAAGAGCCCAGATGTCTACAATGGAATACTACTCAGCCATCAAAAAGAACGAAATCTTGCCACTTGCAACAATGTGGATGGAACTAGAGGGTATTATGCTAAGCAAAATAAGTCAGAGAAAGACAAATACTATATGATTTCACTCATGTGTGGATTTTAAGAAACAAAACAAATGAACATAGAGGAAGGGAAGGAAAAATAAAATAAGACAAAAACAGAGAGGGAGGCAAACCACAGAGACCCTTAAGTCTAGGAAACAAACTGAGGGTTGCTGGAGGGGAGGGGGATGGGGTAAGTGGGTGATGGGCATACTTATTATAATGAGCACTGGGTGTTGTAAGCAACTGAGGAATCACTAAATTCTACTTCTGAAACTAATAATACAGTATATGTTAATTAAATTGAATTTAAATAAAAAATTAAAAGAAAAAAGCTGTCCTAAAACCATATTTGTATCTACTGCTCATCTGCACCTCCATCCCTGCTTCCAAATTCCATCCGTATTCTGCCATTCAGTCCTCCGCCCCAGTGCTTCCGTTAGCTTCCACCCTCACTGGAGGGCATCTCTCCACACAGCTCCCCCTCACAGGGATTCCAGCTCTCTCCGCATCTGTTTGTCTCAGGTGCCACACGAGGCTTCTTGCCACTCAAACTGCTCCACCTTGGTGCCACTCAGGACCCTGGCCATGAAAAGGAACATTCTCTGTCTCATGTGTACTATTCTGTACCCTTTTGTCCTATGACCAGACTGACCTAGCAAGGCCACCCTGGATTCCTATGCTCTAGAATTCAGACCATGTCATTTCAGATCAATCCCTTTTTGGGATGCCTGCCACCTGCATACTTTCCCATTTGCTTTCCATCCTCTCAGACTCTTCATTATTGCATGTTCATGTTCAAAACCCCAAACTGTTCAGGCATTTCAGCAACAACCTGAGTTCCTGCAGACATTTGCCTCAGTGACTAATGTCACATCAATGGCGTTCCTTGCTTGGTGAGTTGTTTCGTCAAGGTTTTGTATTTTTGCACTAACGGTGATTCCTGCCCACTGACGAATTCCATTTTCACTTTGGGAGCGTGACAGTTAATGTCAGCTTACCCAGTTAAATAACAGTCAACCCCCAGGCCTCCAACTGCGTGAGATGGAACAAAATAGGGACTCTCAGAGAGGATACTTAAAATTGCTCAACAAAGTTTCAGTCTGAGGGCTTTTTGAAATATTGGTTTCAAAGACTTATAAAGAATTTACAAATAAAATCTGTTATTTTTATTTATTCACTTAGTTGTTTGTTATTATTTTTAAAAGAGAGAGCAAGCAGGGGGAGGGGAGGGAGGAGGGGCAGAGGGAATGGGAGAGAGAGAATCTCAAGCAGACTCCCTGCTGAGCGCGGAGCCCAACATGGGACTTGATCTCACAACCTTGAGATCATGACCTGAGGCAAAATTAAGAGTCGGATGCTCAACCAACCGAGCCAGCCAGGTGCCCCTCTGTGTTATTTTTAAAAATAAGTGATGGTAAGACATTAAAAAATGAGCATGATTTTCATGCTTTGTTAACTAAGAAGACATAGCAGCGGAAATGAACATGACCTTTTATAAACAGCTCCTCCACATTCCTCTTTACAATGCTAAGATTCTCTCCATAGTTTAATAAGAAAAGATTGTGGAAGAAATATCCAGCAGAGGTGGAATGGGTGGTAGAAAGGCCACTACACCAAAACCGAGACCACAGATGTGTGGGACACAACTCTAGCTTGGTGGGAGTGTCACTTAAAATTTCTATATGTTAATTTTCTGTGGATAAAAATAGCAGGAGTATCTAACTTCACACATAGGTAGTAAAGCAAAACAGATGTGGAAAATCAGGAATGATAGGTAATGTGATCTGGTAATATTACTCCCTAAATTCTGGAAAGTGCTATTTTCAGTTTAAATTCAAGCAGCTTCCTTTTTAACCTGAAGATTTCAAAGTATTTAATAGGAAGTATAAAATAAGTTCAAATGATTGTGAATCAGTACCAAAACAATGAAATTAGCATGGAAAAGCACATGAGAATCCTTTCCAGCATTTACTATAACTAATCACATAGGAAGGATGTGTGGACTTTGGGTCCATTCCAAAGTAGCTTTGCAAACTAATACCAAAAATGTTATCAGCCCTGCAATTGCAAGTCTACATCCTCCTCAGCTTTACCCACAGTAAAAGGAATTTATTCATGGCAAGAATTCATCCCATTTATTGCATAACTATGCACAGGAAACTGAATAAATTATAAATAATTCAACATGGGTAGTCAAGGTGAATTTAGCAAAGCAAGATATATCTGACCCAACAGCTGTAGGCTTTATACCTGGGCCCCCAGCATATGCAGAGATACCAGAGAAGCAAGGATGAGAGGAGCGGACAGGAAGAAAGGGGAGTTAAGGATCCTCTTATAATAAAGTACACATCACTCCTGATTTTTTTTGCCCAATCTTTCATTATTAAACAAAAGAACATTATGTGCTGTTATAACTAAAATAATCTATCTTAGATTATTTTAAAACTTGGTCTCATTTTTATGCTATCATGTATTTAATGGTTAACATAAAACAAAGGAATTTATTTTTGGTGTTTATAGTCACTGAAAAGTTACATTTCCATCTTCAAGACAGTATTCTAGATTTTTTTTTTTTTTTTTTTTTTTAGCGTAATGTGACAGGGCTCAGCAGCTCCTAAAAGTGCTGAAAACGAAGTGGTAGATAAGCCTGAAACTTAACAGTTGTGAGGTCCTTAAAAAACAATACTGTGTTTTTAATGGAGTTACACAGAGTGAGAAACTAAAGCGATTTTGCTTTCCCTGCGTGTGTTTCTCAGTCTGAAGTTAGAAAAGCAGCTCAGTCTGATTGAGCTGGGTAGGGGGTAAAGAACTCACCAGGTTTTACACATGAAAGCAAATGCTTAGTAGGAGAATTAAAAGCCAATGTACACTAAACTGTTAGAGTTAACCGATGCCAACCCTAATCTGTACTCAAAAAGTGGAGCGTGCACGTTCAAGCTGATGGCACTCATCTGCTTGCCAGGAGCAGGGTCCCGAACGCCAGGCAGCAGAGCCAGAAACCACAGTGCATCTTGCTCAGAATGCAGGGGTCAGCATTTGTCACACGCGTCTCAGAGAGAGGCAGAGTTTTAACATGGAAGGTTCTCTGAAAACCCTGGGGCCCAGACCATGGGGCCAGGACAGAAAACCATGTTTCATGGTTTCATGGAACTCTTGTGTCTCACGTGATATTCATAGAAGTAAAAGAAGAATTGTTTAAAAAAAAAAAAGTGAAAAAGATTCCCACAGTCAGATGTTAAAGAAATTTGGAATGAATCAAGGTTAAACGTGTTTCTTTCCCGAAGGACTCTCTGAGACTTCGGGTTCCCTCGTTGTCGGGCCCGAGAGCTGTCTTTGAAGAAATATCTATTAGGCTATGGCTGGATAATTGTGTTTCCTGGGGGCACAGCTTGGGAAATACTGAGATAAAATATGATTAACCCTGGTTTAGAGATGAGGAGGGCATCGAGGCCCACGGACATTATGTCCTAGAAGGAGAACTCAGGTCTCCGGCCCCCTAGCATCAACTTTTCCTAGGAGACAGTCAGAAATCTGAGAAGAGACTGACTGCAACCAGAGTTCTTAGCAATGCCCATACCCTGGAAGGGTATCGGAAGGCTAGACCTTCTGAAAGTACATACGCTCTTCTTTCCTGGCTCATTTGGACATGCAGACCCTCCCAAATCATGATTACCTGATACAAAGGCATGCAGATGCTATCAATCCACTCCAGTTGCAACCGAGGCAGTTCATCTTTCCGGTTCCGATCAAAAATAGCCTAGAATGGGGGAAAAGAAGCTTGCTTTATTACGCTGGAGTAATTTACCGGTGCTTTGTCAAACACTTTACCACGATGATCCAATTTTTACCAACTGAACACTTCACAAATCACAATCAATCTTTACATGTACTTTCTTTTCCTTTATCTATGATGAGAAATAAAGTATTTTCACCTCTTTTTATGAGATTTGTAAATGAATTTATTTGAACTTTATAGCACGCAACTCCTTGGGGCCAAAATCTGCCTTCAGATACAGGTAATGGCCACTAAATCAAGTCATCAGGTCACTGGGAATTGGGTACAAGTCAAGGGGAAGGGGATATGCTTTATTGCCACAAAAATAATGCAGGCTTTTATTTTTATAGTGAAAGAAGGTGGGATAGATTAGAAAGATCCTTAAAGCAGCTTCATCTTAAATAGAAACTATTTGTATTAATTTTTCAGGGTGGGGTGTTGGTTTGACAACTCTTGTGTGTTTTTCAATAAGGTTCTGTCACTAATAAAAATCCTAAGTTTTTGTCTATCATGGGATGGATGATGTGGTAGGTACCCATTCTCTCCTCCTTCCCAGCCTTTAAACTTCATGATACTATAATGTTTAGAAAATTTCTTGAACATTCTTCAAGAAAAAGAAATGACATATGTCTGTTGGGCAGACATGAAAAGGGAGCCAATCAGCTGGACTTGGGGCGCACATGGATTCTTGAACAAACACAGCCGGTTCTACTCCATTAAGCATGTCCTTCTTTCTGCTATCAGCGAGTAAGGCCAGGTCTACGAAGTGACCTTCCCCTGCATTACTGTCTTAAAGTAGGTTTGGTCTCTCCTCTACAGAGATAACATGTGGCATCCACATCATTCTGGCGTTCACATAGGTCACGAGGGCAGATCCAAGGCACTCCCTTGGTCTGGAGATGCTGAAAAAGCCAGCATCCTTCAGACTCATGAATGAGGGTGGGAGCGGGTAGGACAGAAATCACGAGCTGCCAAAGCTCACAAGAGGAGAGAAGGGTGCTGCTGAGGAAAACCCCCGGAATCAGGGAGAAGGTCACTGACTCCCACAGACTCTGCTCGTCCTTGTCTTACAATGTGAAATGTGAAATACCAGGAAAGGGGACTAGGGTCTGGAGAAGACTGACTCATGCCGGAGGAAGGAAGGAAGGAAGGAATGATCTTGTGAACTGCAGGAGTCTTTGTCTGAAGTGTTCCTTTAAAAATATTATTCTATTATCTACTCTTGAGCTCTCAGAGTTACCTGAAATTTTCTTATTTACTTAATTACTGTTTCTGGTGCATAGAACTTTTTGTTTGTTTTTGTTTTAGTTCAGTGGTTTTTGGTATATTCACAATTAGTTGTGCAACCATTACTACAATCAATTTTAGAACATTTTTATCACCCCAACAAGAAATCCCATACCAATTAGCAGTCACTCCTCACCCTCCCCCAAATCCCCGGCCTTAGGTGACCACGAATCTATTTTCTGTTTGTATAGATTTGGCTATTCTGCACACTCATATAAATGGAATCGTATGATACGTGGCCTTTGTGACCAGCTTCTTTCACTGAGCATGATGTTTTCAAGGTTCCATACTGTAGCATTTTTCAGCACTTCATTCCTCTTTATGGCCAAATGAGATTCCACTGTATAGTTACACCACATTTTATTTATCCATGCCTCAGCGGATGGGCAGTTGGGTTATTTCCACTTTGTGGCCCTGATGAGTAATGCTGCTCTGAACCTTCATGTGCAAGTTTCCATGTGGATGTATGTTTTCATTTCTCTTGGGGATAGACCTAGAGGCAGAATTGCTGGGCCATGAGCCCAGTCTGACATTTAATGTTTCCATGAACTGCCAAACTATTTTCCAAAGCAGCCGCACCATTTTACATTCCTGCCAGCAGTGTATGAAGTTCCAATTTCTCCACATCCTCCTCAGCACTGGTCATTGTCTGTCTTTTTATTTATAGCTAGTCCCCATGAAGTGGCATCTCACTGCGGTTTTGGTTTGCATTTCCCTGATGACTAATGATTTTGAGCATGTTTTCATGTGCTTATTGGCCATCTCTGTATATTCTTTGAAGCAATATGTATTCAGATCCTTTGACCTTTTTAAAAATTGGGTTGCCTTTCTAGTTGTTCATAGTTCTCTATATATTCTAGATGCCAGGCCCATATCATATATGATTTGCAAATCATTTCTCCCATCCTGTAGGCTGTCTTTTCGTTTTCTTGACAGTGTCCTTTAAGATGCAAAGTGTTAAATTTTAATGAAGTCCAATTTATCTATTTTGTTTTTCTTGTGTTTTGTGTCTCTTGTGCTTTTGGTGTCATATCTAAGACATCATTGCCAGATCCAATCCAGAAGATTTACACCTTGTTTTCTTCTAAGAGTTTTATATAGTTTTAGTTCTTACATTTACTTCTGTAATCCACTTTGAGGTTATTCTGAGGTTTGGTGAGAGGTAGGGGTCTAACTTGACTCATTTGCAGTGGATATCCTACTGTCTCTGCACCATTTGAAAACACTGCTTTCCTCCCCCACTGAACTGTCTTAGCGTCCTTTTGAAAATCAGTTGACCATAACTGTCAGAGTTTATTTGCAGACTAGTCACTTCTCAAAAAATGTTTTTGAGTGGAAGTGTGAGATAGTACACTGTCCTGTGGTTTCCTTTTACAGCATTTTGCATCTTGTAATTGATTATGAGTGATTATTTATTTATTTACTTTTAAAGATTTTACTCATTTACTTGAGAGAGAGAGAGCATACGTGAGAGAGCAAGCACAAGTCGGGGAGGGGAGGGCAGAAGGACAGGGAGAAGCAGACTCCCCATTGAGCAGGGAGCCCGATGCAGGGCTTGATCCCAGGACCCCAGGATCACGACCTGAGCCGAAGGCAGATGCTTAACTGACTGAGCCACCCAGGCACCCTGAGTGATTATTTATTTAATATCTATATTTCCCATCAGTTGACAAGCTTTGGGGAAGGGCAGGGAAGATGGCACCTTGCTCATGGCTGGAAGCACAGTGCCCAACTTCATGCTTGATACCTGGAGGTGCTCAAGCATGTTTTATTAACTGACTCACTGCTTCCACTATTAACCCTTTGGTTACTCTAATGACCTTTAGGACCATGACACCTGATGGGGCTCCCAGACAATTTTCTTCCTGAATATCAAGGAATAACGGACACGGCTGGTGTCACCTGTGGGTGCATGCATTTCCAGACATCTCTGGAAAAGGACTAATGAGAAATAGCCCTGCCACAGCAGCCAGGAGACTGTCATCAGCAATGTTAAGTAGCCTTTTGGGAGGCGAGAGTAGCATTTAGTGCTATGCTTCCACTGCAAAATCGATCTCATTTGTGTCTTCAGAGAACGCCTTACCTGAGCCCACAGACAAAGGCTCCTTAGTGCTGGGTCACTGCCCCTGCCAGCTCACCAATGCTGGCAACTGACTCATATTTTTTTTCATTCAATTAAATGACCTGTAGTATTGCTGCGTTATACACCCTTCAGAGGATGCCTCTGAAACAGTTCTTTTTAAGTGGAGGAAAGCTTTAATTTGAAGATAGATATGTAGCTGAGAGAAATGTGGGTTGTACGAGGTTTTACCCATTAACGATGTATCCCAATCCAGCGTCTTTATTTTTATAGCCAAATCTGGTGACACCACCAAAAAAGAATAAAGGGAGGTTTTGGAAACAGTATAAGTAGATGTTGCTTTGGAAACTAAAATACTGGGCGAGTGTTCTAACTGATGTAGTCTTCTGACCTTTCATGGGTAAGCAACAAATTAGGAATAGTCAACATTGGTAAGGCTGTGAGGTCTGACTTCAAGCAGGTGACGTTGTTTAACTAGGAGCTAGTTCTGCTGCCTTTCCTTGCTTTTAAATGTCAGCGAAGAAAGACCTCTTAAAACTTGGAGATCTTATAAATATCCCCAAATGTGCAAAACTCAGTTGACTTGAATCCTCATAAAGAGACGTTCTTGACAACGGACATATTCCTTGAGCCGCACTGAATCTACTGAGCTGAGCCGGCTTTCCAACACTTTGCATCATTCCTTGAGTTGTCAGGCGATGTGTTTTTAGCTAACCCTTCATTATGAATAAAGAGGCCACCCCCTCCTTGTGGGTGGTGATGGAGGCATTTATGTCTTTTGTCTTGTTTGAGTAAAAACAGCATCATCCAGAGACTGCAGTAAGCATTTTCAAATAATAATCGAATGGATGAATCCAATAAAAATGGCATTTCAGTCAGAAGAACCTAGTTCCCCAAGTGAAACTTTTCATTTTGCAAACAAAGAAAAGAAACAGAGACTTGAAATGATTTCGGTTTATGATTTTGGAAAGTCTGAAATTGGAAAATAAAATCCAGAACATCCATTATTCACTGCAGCTATCCATTCTAGCTGCTCAAGGCTGGACAGCTTGCATTTAACTTTTGTCTGTATTTCTATTCCAAAGGAGCTACTGACCACATATGAAATGACAGCACTGGGCTTTGAGCTACTCAAATGCCACTCTGCATATCCTCCCTCGTGCCTAGTTGGCCCACCGTGCGAGCTCAGGAAATGTTTGTTAAGTAGCTCACCACTCTTAATCAGAAACCTGGGAATAAGAGTGTTCAGCATCTAAGTTTAATTAAAGTTTTAAACTTTCAGGAGTGCTTCCTTAAATCCAACTTTCAGTCTTCCCTGCTTTCAAGTTGTGATTTTTGGAGTTACTTTCGAAAATGTCATTCCAAAGGGTAAATGCGTCATAACAGAAGGACGAACTTACTGAAGGAGTGAGTTTGAGTTCTGATCTCTCCCGATCTCCTTGTTCAAAGAACTCACTGGTTACAAGTTCAGCCACCTGAAACATATACATATTTAATTTATGGTTATATGTGGTTTATCATAAGACTCAGAAGTTATTTCTGCCTTCCGTGTATGGTGATGATCTTCAACCCAGATAAGCACTTAAAAAGCTTTTGAAGAAGTACATTAACATTTTCTGTTTCAAGGTATTACAGACTTTAACCAATGAAACGGATTTTCTCTTAATCAGAGGAACTGGTGCAAGGTATTTTTAGATGCATGCTAGTAGACGACCTCGGCGAGTACAGATTCCATATTCAGGAGGAGGCACTGGGTTGCCACCTTCAAAGTAGGAAATGCTCTTATTGCAGAAAAAATGAAGCAAATAATGCCTAATAATATTTTTTGTTTTTATAATATGATATACTTGCAATAATAATTTAGCCAACTTTTGGTTGTTTCTACAGAGATTCTTCACTTTGTTGCATACTTTTATCTTAGCTTGGTTTCATTTGCCATCCCCCAAACTCTCTAACTGCTTCACCCTACCAATATTCGCATGCACTCTGGAGAGGATAACCCCAGGGCAACCTCTGCTTCTTACTGGAGCAATCAGCCAAGGGCAGGACTAACGCTAGAGTCACTGTTCATACCAGGTTTTTCTAAAGTGTGTCATGATGCAGTTTGAAGAGTGTTGATTTGGTCTTCAAGCTGTCTTAATCTAGGTACTAAAAGTGTTAATTTATGGTAGGTTCCAGTTGGTACAAGCACAATGGAAGTGGTGTTTCTACCTCAAATGGTAGAGATTTTTCCAAAGTAAGGACTTCTATTTTTCCACTTTTCGTCTATTAGCATGGATGATCAGAAGTTGCTCATTGGTCATTGTTAAGCCGAAGAGAAGCTTCGCCACGCCCTGTGCTTCTAATGATAGCTATGGGAAGCATACTGATAGAGCAGTAAGTGTTAAATGGGTATTTTCAACAACACTATAGTGTGCATCTAGGAAATCTCTTAGATGAACTAGCTGGATTTAGAAAATTTGGAAGAGCAGGGAAAAAAAAAATCCCAGAAAACTTGATGGCAAGAAGATCTGGATCCCCAGACTAGTTTTTCCTCTATTCCAGGCTCTTACAAAGATGAGGTTCTAAGGTCTGGAAAAGGCTAGAATGGTTTAATTTTGGTCAAGTGGATAGAATCAAGATAATTTACTTAAGTGTATCTCTCAAGAGATTCTGCCAACCATAAATCATAACCATTGATAAAACAGAAAAACGTCTCTCTCCATCTCTGTTTCTGTTTCTCTCTCTCTCTCACACACACCCCTTGAGAATAGCAAGTATGTAACTCATTTATAAAGAAATAGAATATCTAGTCAGTTCAGATTTTAAGCATTTCTAATAAGGAATATGGGTACCTTTTAAAAATTCAATAGCATAAAACTAGTTGGCACTGGCTCAGTTTTCCTAGGGCCCGATTTCCTTCTCTCTCTGCAGTCTCTGCCACTACCTTTCCCATTAGCACTCCAGACCTTTCTCTCTGTCTCTGGGCTTCCTGTAAAAAAGAAATGGTCCCCTAAGGGCCTGGCCTCCTTTGTTCAGCTCTCAGAACACTCCCTCAGATTGCTCTGAGGTGGGTCTTTTGCACTAAAGAATACAAATGTGCACATCAGGTCACCCCAAGGTAGGAGTCCTGCATAGGTCTATAACTCCTGAAAAGCAAAGAAATTAAAACAAAATCCTGTCCTTGATCTTTCGAAAGTGGTCCTGGCTATCTCCCCTGGGCTTCTTTCACGGCTCAACTTGTACCACTGTTTCATTTGTACTTAAAAACCCAATCAGGAACATTAAGTGGCTCCTGATTGAATTTTTTATTAAAGAAGGAAATTGAGATGCTAATCAGGCCTTGGGGGATCACTGGGGAAACCCACATGCTTAGAGTCATGTGTGTGAGGAAGGAGGGTTGGAATAGACGCCAGTAAAAAAAAACATTTTGCAAGGAAATGTTAAAAAAATCAACATCTAGGAAACTAGAAATATATTTATATTTTTAAAAGAAGTTTCCATTGTTTTTGTCCAAATGTTTCCTAAAATCATAGAAGTGAGTATGTTTTTGAAAACATTTTAACCTATTCGGTTTGGAGACAAACACAAATGAGATCTCCAGTTTAGAGCTGTGACAAGATTTCTGATGGAAATGTTTGGAAAAACATGGTTTTGTGTTTTATTTCCCTGAACTCTTGGGTCTCTGCACTTATCAGCAGAACTTCACATCTTAAAAATAAAATATTACTTACATCAATGACCAAGAAGACCACCTTCAAGTGGCCAGTGGGCCTCCCAAGTTGGTTTAAAATGTCAATGCAGGAACTCTTTTTCATTCTAAGGATGTTCTCCTGTCCTTTTCCTGCTCCCAAGTGGGTTACTGCTCCTCTAGTTGTTGATGTGCCGTTCACTGGGGTTCCTGAAAGGCCTGGCACATCATACTTCATCGTCTCACTCTCTTTCCAATCTTCTCTAGTTTTCCCCTGGTCCCCTGAACTTCTCCCAGTCTCCACTCCTCCACTTCTTTCCATCCCAGTCAGACTGCCCACCTCTGCTACTATACCTTTCCCCAGTACCTGGAAGATTCCTACCTCTTCTCTGTTCCCCAACTTCACTGTAGGGGAGCCTTCCCACACTGGGGCAGTGAAGGGTGGGCAGAGATGTAGAAATAAGCCACTCAACCGTGCAAATTCTTCCCACTTACCCTGCTTTATGTAACTTCAAATGTGTCACACTAAAATGAGAGCCAAGGCTCAGTTGGAGGAGAGCTATTTATTGGAGGAGAACTTTGTAGGAAAACTGCCCAATCTACACTGGACTGTGACAGAAGCAAAGAAATAAGTGTTTCTTTGAGTTAAGCAGTGAAATTTGAGAATATATTTGTTACTGCAGCAAAGCCTACCCTAGTTTTGACTAACACAAAAACTAGTATGGAATTGAGGTGCTGCTGTTGAAAGAAAAAGAAAAAAAGGAAGACAAATAAGAAGACCCTAAAATATGTGGCATCAGCAAGGGGACCAGGTATATGACAGTGAAGAAATGTTGTTGGAGGCTGTAAGGATGATGGCCCATGTTACACAGTGGCAAAATATTTTGTACAATTCTCACTGAAATAAAACAAATAATGTATCTAATGAATTTACTGCCTTAGGGGAAGAGATTGGAAAACAAATGTTAGTAGCACGTGACGACTGCTATTGACTATGTTTTGCTAAGTATTGTAAGAAGTGAGCTCAGAAAAGGATTGGCAGGCTTATCATCAGAAATGAAAAGGAAGAGTCACAAATTCAGAGTCTTCATCTTCAGGGATGAAAGATGAAGCTGCTTTTTAATCCCAAACTATAAAAATAAAAATTGAGATATGTTTTGAATGACAAAGGCTGATCAAGACTCAGCCTCGCAGGGCATCTGGCTCGTTCAGTTGGTGGAGCATGTGACTCTTGATCTCAGGGTTGTGAGTTCAAGCCCCATGTTGGGTGTAGAGATTACTTAAAAATGAAATCTTAAAAAAACAACAACAACTCAGCCTTGAAACAAGAATCAAAGGTACGGCCAGTGCACTCACAGTTAAGAACTTCGAATGAAGTAGGTGGTACCCAGGATATCCCTTCCATTGTACAAAATGGCCCAGAGAAATGATTTTACTACATGGTTCTCTCACTGGCATCTTTTGGGCCCCGACTGCTAGGAATTGGGTCATGAAGGAGGAAGAAAGACGTACATATGTTATTTTTCTTTGTTCTTGAAAACAAGGAAGCAAAGAGATATGGCAGATCTAAGAAGTCCATCTAGAATAGAACTGTGTATGTGGTTATTGGCAAGTGGAAATGACTAGAATCAAAGACACAAGAAGCTGACTAAACGTGCAAGAGAGTTTGGTGCCAAAAACCACATAAGACTGTGACTACTTAAAACCTAAAACAAGCCTTGGGTCCTCAACCATTTTGGGTGGGAAACAGGTTGGAAAGCTGCCTGACCTTTGGATATAGCCAAGGAGGACAATGGAAAAGGGATAATTTCCCAGAATAGATCTAGCAGCCATGGATAATGATGGTTGGGGAGCATCTTGCAGAGAACCAGAGCCTACCACAGAATGGATGGCCTCACAGTGACTGCCCAGTGGGATTTTGGAATTACTGCGGCCCCCTAACTGCCAAATGTTGGCCATCTCTTTCCTTTCTGAATGGGAGTATCACAATGAGTATTTCGTGGTTTGGGTGTATGTAAGATGCTATGTTTGGGGTGTGTGTAGGTCTTTAATTTGCATCCAGACCTGATGTAGAGACTGGCATGAATCACCCAGAGATCTTGGACTTTGAGCTTGATACCATGACTAATGGGATGTTTGGGTCATTTCCCTTGGGGAAAGGCTGACTATATTTTGCCTGCAGGAAGGAGAGTGAATCACACTTTTGGTGATTAGAAGGGCAAACTGTGGTAGTCACATTTTCATTAACTATTTCTGGCTTTCTACATTCTGGGCACACGAAAGAATTATACTTCCTGGTTGAGTGGGGTCTTGTGACAAGTTCTGGCCAATGAATTCTTGGGAAGAGGCATTTACTTGCCAGTATGAGGCAGGCTAGGGCTTCTGTCAGAATGATCCACATGGTAACTGCTCCTTCAGCCCGAGTCCAAAATGAGGAACAGTACCAGCTGACCCTGGATGCACATGTTCATGAACAATATGTTGTTTTAAGCCACTGAGGCTGAAGGATAATAGCTCATTCTCCTTACCACTGGCATCATTTAAAGTGCCCACTGAGGGGCGCCTGGGTGGCTCAGTCATTAAGTGTTTGCCTTCGGCTCAGCTCATGATCCCAGGGTCCTGGGATCAAGCCCTGCATTGGGCTCCCGGCTCAGCGGGAAGCCTGCTTCTCCCTCTCCCACTCCCCCTGCTTGTGTTCCCTCTCTTGCTGTCTCTCTCTATGTCAAATAAATAAATAAAATCTTAAAAAAAAAATAAAAATGCCCACTGATGTATCCGGTGTGAGATAGTGTAAGGCACTGTAAAGAGTGAAGGCTTTGGAGCTTAATCTGCTAGGATTTGAATACCAAGCCCCATCACTTACTAGCTGTATCACCTCAAGCTATCCTTTCTAGGCTTCACTTTTCCCATTTGTGAAATAGGGGTAATAAACTGTATCAGTTTCCCAGGGTTGCCAGGCATGACCACAAACTTGGTGGTTTAAAACAACAGGAATTGGGGTGCCTGGGTGGCTTAGTTGGTTAAGCGTCTGCCTTCGGCTCAGGTCATGGTCTCAGGGTCCTGGGATAGAGCCCTGCATCAGGCTCCCTGCTCAGCGGGGAGTCTGCTTCTCCTTCAGCCTCCTGCTCCCCCTGTTTGTGTGCTATCTCTCTCTTTCTTGCTCTCTGTCAAATAAATAAATAAAATCTTAAAAAAAAAACAACAATAGGACTCTATTTTCTTCTAGTTCTGGAGGTCAGCAGCTCAACATCAGTTCACTGGACAGAAATCAAGGTGTTGCCAAGGCCAAGCTTGCTCTGGAGCCTCTAGGGGAGAATCTATCCTCTGTCCCTTCCAGGTTCTGGTGGCTGCCACCTTTCTTTTGCTTGTGGCCGCATCGCTCTACTCTCTGCCTTGTCTTCACATCCCCTTCTCCTCTTTTGAATGTGTAATCTCCCTGCATCTCTCTCTTCTAAGGATGCCTGTCATTGAATTTAGGGCCCAGTTGGATAATACAGGATAATGACAATAATAATGATAATGATGATTTTTAACTTCATCACATCTGCAAAGACCCTTTTTCCTTCTAAGGCAATATTTACAGGTTCCAGAAATTAGGATCCCCTATCTTTGGGTTGCTATTATTCAGCCTACTGGAGTAACTATACCTAAATCAAAGGTTGGGGGGGCTTTGAAATTAGATATTTGGATATTAGATAGTCAATAAATATTAGTTATTTATTGTTATATGAATCTATTTTACTTTCCCTAAAATGTTGAGACTTAAGATACCAAGTTACTATTTCACACCCCACACAGTAGGTGCTTCATAAAAATGAAAAGATATTAATCTCCAAAAACTATTAGTAATCAAGGATCTTTAACTGTGTGGTTATCGGCTTGAAAACTATTCTTGCTCTAAACTAACATGTTCGGCAGTGAAACCAGATAGGAGGTAAAGGCATGATTTTTGTGGATATTGCACACTTTGGCCAAAGTGATCTGATCTCTAAATAGTCCTTAAAAAGAAAAAAATAAAATTTCCTTTTGACCTCCTTGGTTTCTTTTCTCCCTCTCTTTTTTTTTAAGATGAGAAAAAAGCAGACCTTGTGCTAAAACACGATTACCTATTTAAAAACTCTATTTTTGAAACTCTTGCCTTAGGACATGGCCGATGCATTATTTGAATTTAGAGTGTTAAAAAAATCTTAGAGAATCAGGCATATTATGACTCAGTGGAAGCACGTTAATGAACGGCTGTGCAATAAACTATGTCTCGCCTGAGCCTCCTGCTATTTTTTACACCATGTTAATACTGATGCAAATTGACTAGGGCTTCAGTGCCTGGGAGTCGGGGCTCTGGGAATATTGCTTCCCCCTCCCCCCTTCCCCACCTCCAGTCCCTCCTCTGCCAGGCCCGGCCATTAATCACCACTTGCCTGTCTTGAGATCTCCCACGGTTTGGTCACGGCTCCAAGGTCACAGGCTGTCATTAACATTGATCTGAAAAACAGAACCAAACAAAACAGCCTGAATAATCTTTTGTTGCATTCTTCCTAAACAAATCCGTGCTAGATACATAAATAAATAAAATGGGACCAAGGCCAACTCTCACGTGTCTTTCCTTCAACAGGGGAAGCACTGTTTACAGTCCCCATGTTTAGCATCTCCATCATGTGGCCACACTGCTTAAGAAGACAAAGCAAACACACAGCCTCAGCCTCGGTGGCGGCCCTTTTGTTATGTCTGCAGTGGATCAAGGAAGGCAAAGAACTACTTTCTCTACACCAGAGCTAAGCAAGCTCTGCTTAAAGTAATCTCTACTGGACAATGCTTTTTATTTTTAACTAGCAGCAAGGGAATCAGCCTATAATGCCATATACATAGCTGATGAATCTCTTCACCAACTTATCGCTGATTGATGGGAATGGATGGAAACCTATAGCAAAGAGGCGAGGCGCATGCTACCCTAGGAGCTCCTTCATTTCCACCTGCTCTACGGAGCTAAGATTTACTGGGAGAGCCACAGTTTCACTCCAGTTTATTACCTGGCAGCAACCATGTTTTATCAGCATTATGAAGAAGAAACATATTCAGCAGCAGTTTTCATTAATTTGAGCACATAAGAAAGCACAGGAAGATCTGAACCAGATCTTTGAGGGGCAGATTTCTACTGGGTTTAACTAGAATTCACCCCGAACAATGGATATAAAAACATGGGGGACAACTTAAATTGTGGATAGCTCTGGTGCTTATCATGTGATGTGATGTGGAGGTGGGAAAAACAAGGCACACGCTTTGTCCAAAATTTGCTTTCTTTGTACTAAAGCCAGCAGGATGTGATGAAAAGCGATGACGGATTGGAGTCAAGAGACCACATCTTGGTTGGCTCCTTTTGGAAGAAAGGGGTGTGTTGTTAGAGGTCAGGGGGCTGTCCTGATGACGGGTGTTAACATTTCCTACCCTGCCGGACTCGAATGCCTTGGAAACATGTCTGCTTCCCAGATGGCAGAGCATGATGGTAGTGGAGTTTGTGTAACTTCCCCAGGAAACCCCCCCAGGGAACAGGGCAGAATGGCAGGTAACAATAGGTCATTCAAAGCCCCGCCAGGCATGCTGGCCTCAGCAGCCCCCTCCACGAGTTCGGCAGCACCTAATCCCAAGCCCCCTGTGCTAAGCACTACGCGGAGCAATGCAGGGGTGCATTCTTCTTATTTGATCTTCTGTAACAAGCACTCTGCTGTGTGCCTGCCTCCGTACTAAGTGCTGACCCCCTAACTACTAATAAATGAATCTACTGAACCCTCAGAAGGAGGGGCCGTTACTCCCATTTTATAGAGCGGTAAAAGGAAGCACGGAGAGATGAAGTAACTTTCCCAAAGCAAGTAAGGAGTCAGGATTCTGTGTTTATCACAAAGCTACCAGACCCCCTCTTGCTACACTCAAATGCTTCTCCTTTTAGGTTCTGCTGGTACCGGAGGTTGACAAGACTGTAGGTAATGCATTGAACTTTGCAGTCTGTCTCCTAGACAGGAAATAATCTCTATGAGGTTGCTTACTTATACTGTAACTTGGACAATGATTTAGCTTCCATCTGCTTGATAATTTGAGGCTTACTTCTCAAATTCATGTCACCATTCATCAATCAACATGGGTATTGAGTATCTAGCTAGGTTCTCTGTTAGTGATCATTCTAATAGGGACCATTAATCGTGCAAGCACTACAGAGTGATTTACATAGCCTCTAGCTGAGGCAGGGATACCATTATTACCTCCATTTTACAAAGCAAATTAGTGTTTTGCATTCCTTGATCAGACAGGTACAAAGTTTGCCAGAGGTTACACACTGAGGAAGTATCAAAGCTGGAGCCGGAATCCATAAAGTCTGACAGAAGGGTCTCTCTTTTCAGTGAATGCTCTACAGTGGAGCAGGAAGTCCATACTGAGAAGGAAGACGGAAAAAGGCTGGGAGGGAAGATGGGGGCGGGCGGGTGTCTGAAACTTTCATCCAACTGACACTGGGGAGTCTGTTAGGGTTGGGGATTCAGGAAGGACCTGGCTAGACGTTCCAGGCAGAACTTTCGGTGGTGGGTGTGAAAAGAGTTTGGAGAAGAAGGGAAGCAGGGAGACCAGTTGGAAAGTACCAACTGATAAGGGCCGAAAACAAGGAAGGGCAGGAGAATGGAAAGGCCAGGAGAAGGCTGAGAGATTCCAGAGGAAGGACCAAAGGGGGGGAATGAGCAGTGCTAGCCTATTGTTTCGATGCCTCTAGAAGAAGTGCAAGGTCTTTTCTAGAGTCAGAGAGGAGGAAGGAAGTTACTCCTGAGGTCCGCATACTTCTCATTCAGTCTGTGGTGGGGGGTGTGCAGCTACACGGCGCGCTGAGCGAACGAGTGGTCAGGAGCCCGGAGGTACGGCCTCCTCTGCGGTCCGCCAGGCCGCGGCCGGGGTACCCGACGCTCTCTCTCGGCAGATCATTTTTATCGCACCTCCCCTCTATGTGCCAAGTCATTGCAACAACAGTCTTGGGTTAACCATCATTTTCTTGATTGGTTCTCGTTTTAAAACAATTAGCGATGCAAAAGAATCCATTGTAATTTAAAAAAATAGATTCATAGTCAGTAAAATAGTTCACGTATGAGCTCCGTTTGGCACTCACCAAACAAAAAATCCCACTTAGAGCCTTGCCCTCTGTGTCACGGTTTTAAAATTTAAGACACAAATAAAACGTCCAAATGGTCAATACAAAATGACAGAAGTGAAGTAAGTCGAGTTATGTTTTTTCGTCCTTGCCGTTACTGGGCTATCATTGTTTCTTCCGGATGTACTGTTTGAAAGCGGGAATGTGAAGCTCCGTAGGGTGGAAGGCACCAGCTAGCCGCGGAGCCCGCGCGAAACGAACTTAGACTTGAAGTGGGCACCGCGCCCACCGGTGTCAGCGGCTGACGGGGTCCCCGCGCACTCTCGCAGTGAACTTGCAGGTACCAGACGTGTACAACTAAAGGATAAGTAATAATGTGCTCATCTGAAGCTTTCAGATCAATTATTTTGATACTCAACAGTAAACTCAGCAATTGTTTAGGACTTCTACCAACATAAGATTTTTCTCGGGGAGAAGTAGCTTATCGTTGACATTGTTCAGGCTGCAGGCACGTGGTGATGATAAAAAGCAGACCGACTTTTAGTTGGTTTTATTGCTTTTTTCAGGTTCTCTAAGACGGTGGTCCCCCGGAGCCCCCCTGCCCCTCGGTGCCCGTGGTCGGAGTCTAACCATGAAATGGGGGAGGGAAGGCAAAACTGGGGGCGGGGCGTGGAGAGCTCCCGGAGCACCTCTATTTTACACACTGTACTTCCAGATTTTTCTTCCATTTGGGGTTCCCTGCCCAAAAGCGTTTGAAAACCTCTGTAGGAAAACACCCAGGTGGAGATGTGGAATGAGCACGGGCATTTTAGGAGTTGTGCTCAGAAGAGAGGCCAGGCTGGAGAGAGAGGGCAGGAGTCACGTGAGAAGAGGTGCTTGTTAAAGCCACCACGAGGCTGAGGAACAGGAGAGAAATCTCAAACATGGGTCCTCGGGGGTCCTTGCCTTTCAGGGGTGGTGGAGAGGGGTTAGGGCTGGAGAAGGACAAAGAGGAGAAGCAAGAGTCAGAAGAGAGTAGAAAATCTGGAAGCCCAGGGCTCGGCAGCCTCCAAGGAGGCTTCAACACGGAGCTTCAACACAGAAAGGCCAGTGCAATGAGGGGCTGTGATGCGATCCCGGGAGAGAACAAAGGCCCTAGAATTTGATCCTTGGGAGGTGACTGGTGACTTTCAAAAGGAGCTGAAGTCACATTTCATAGACTGAAGGCCTCAGTAGAGGAACGGCTAGCTACTCTGTGGTAAATCCGTACTTTGGAGTACTGTGCAACAGTAAAAGCTGATGATGTAGGGACACAGAAAAAATTCCAAGGCATACAGTTGAGTGAACAAGCCAGTTTGGATGGATATATAAATACGTAACTTATGTTAAAACAAACAAACAAGTCCACACTCAACAGCATTTTTTCCCTCAGAATATACACGTACATAAATGCTTTAGAAGTGGCTGGAAAGTTTACAACAAATTGGTAACAGCGTATAGCTGCGCTTCGGTATGCGAATTGGGAGTGAAGCCCAGGGAAGGTCTGGCGGCTCATCTGTCATGTTTTCAGTTGTTACAGAAAAATATATTCCTATAATTACTTGTGGAACTCAAAATTATTTAAAAAGAAACACATGCCTTGCAAGAAGTTAGGAGGAGGGTGAGTCAAGTGTGGAACTGAAGAGAAAACGGGGACTATGAATGGACCTGGGGAAGAAGGCAGATTTTAGGCATGATATTTTTGCCTGAGGAGACAGAAGCATATTTTTAGGCCTAGAATGGTCATGCTGGAAAAAAGCAGATTTTGGAAAATGCCAAAGGAGCATAATTGAGGAGGCAAGTTCAGGGGCGGGGGAGGTGGAGGGAACGGAGTTAGGACACATGGGGAGGGCTAGTTTTGAAGGAGGAAGGGTCCCCTCCCACCCTGGACAGGAAGAAGAAAAAGGTCTGAAAAGATAGCAGAGAGAAATATTACCGCAGGAGGGGAGAAACAGAGGGCCCTGGTGAGAAGTCCTGGGGAAAGGGTGAAGCGAGGTCAGGGGCAGGGGGGAGGGGCAGGCAGCCCTGCGTTCTGAAGTTGGAGGCGGTGGGGGGAAGGGGCTTGCATAGCAGCTAGGGGGCGCCATGAGAGGGGTCCGGTTCTGGGTGATTCTAGTAGTCACCTGGCTGTGGAACAGACACAAGGAGCCTCAGTCCAGGCCTCAGAGGCTTTTCCAGGAATACAAGCTTTCCAATTTGGAACAGGACTGAGGCAGCAGAAGGTCTGGGGGTGGGTAAGGTAGGGACAGTGGAGGGACAGGATCTGAGAGAAAGAGGAATAGTGCCTAGCCAGCGGGATGGCTCCAGTCAGGGGGTTCAAATGTGCCACATAAGGGCCGTGGGTTGCTGCTGTCTTTTCTAAACAACTAGGAAGAAGTTCAGTGAAAATTCTAGAACAGATTCCTTATTTCTGCCACCCAAACTGTTCCAATTGGTTTTCCATCTACAACGCCTGTTGTCTCTAAAAAAAAACCCCAAAGTTAACTCTCTACTTTGTTTTGGCTAACACTGTTTTCTAAGGTTCAAAATCCTCTCTCCCCTCAACATACACCCCCACCCCAGGAAAAAGAGGAAGTCACAGCTTGCTGAAACTGAACCAATTTGAACACCATTTTCTAATTCTGAAGGCAAATTTATGGAGAGGCGGCAAAAATATAACAGATTAGAAGACGAAAAGATATGCCATCTATCTATTCTCTAATTATTCAACTACTCTCTGAATGTTTTCAATGGAAGCTAAGATTTGTTACTTTAAAATTCACGTGTGTGCCCTTAGCACTGTCTGAAAAGCATGGTGAAATCTTCAAATAATGAAGAAACACATAAACAAGAGCTGCTTCTTACCGAAATATATCACGATGGTTTTTGATGTTCCAATCATATTCTCCTTTACTGACAAGTTCAAAGAATTCAGTCCTCCTCCTGCACAAAATCAAATGAAGGAAGAAAGAAAAAAAATCTGGAATGAAATTTCTCAGTCTGCAGGGTGACATAAACACATTTATGGGAAAATATAAGATCACCTGAACCAAGCAAGTCACTTAATATTTGAAATCATGAGGCTAAAGCACTGTCAAAATAAATCACTTTTTAAAAAAATGTTGAGGCTTCAAGAAAAAGCCACAATCATTTCTGAATGTATTTACAACAGAGGAGATTGTCGAGCCATAAAACAGAAAACAATGTGGTCCCGCGTTTAGGATTACTGGCTGGGAAGCTCTTGTGACTGAAAGTCAGAGGAGGGAAGCAAGGACAAATAAAAAGCGGAACAATTTGGAATGTTCTTTTATCATTCAACAGAGAACTCAGCTCTATGAGGATCTGAGATAAGCTAAGCTCCCTGGTAGTAAATTCAGGGCAAATAGTTTTCGCTAGGCTAGAAAATAACTATTTCAGCCTTTCAGTGCTTAAAACATAGTCTGTGGAGTCAGAAATAACTGTTTAAAGAGTGGCTCGGTCACCTACGCGCTGTGCAACTTTGGGAAGTTACTTAAACCCGCTGAGCCTCCATTTCCAAATCTCAAACACGGAGATCATATTTGCTAACTCACACGGTTACTGTGAGGATTAAATGCAAAGTAGTTAGCATAGCGTCTGCACATTTCCAGTGCCGGACACACATACACATACGGATCCACGTTTGGAGAAGTATAGATACGGAAAAGGCAAAGAAAGGAATATTCGGATAAGGTGATTTATTTTTATTTTCCCAAAACTTTCCTTCCATCTAGTTACATGACTTTTCCTTTTTTTTTTTTTTTTAGTTTATTTGACAGAGAGAGAGAGAGAGAGACAGCAGAGCAGGAACACAAGCAGGGGGAGTGGGAGAGGGAGAAGCAGGCTCCCCGCGGAGCAGGGAGCCCGATGCGGGGCTCGATCCCAAGACCCTGGGACCATGACCTGAGCCGAAGGCAGACGCTTAACGACTGAGCCACCCAGGCGCCCTGACTTTTCCTTTTTATAGTGCAAGAATAAAAAAGGACATTTAGCATTTTATTCCTTAAGAATCACTTCCCAAGGTTTCACCTTCTTGGCACTTTCTAATGAGATACTATTTAAAAGATCCTGACACGCAGTTTCCCAAAGTGCATCCCACGTGGAAGTACTCCACATACTGGCAAGCGGTTGGAGGAATGCGGCCTGAGATATACCTCTTTTGAAGATTCACCTCCCTTATTAGCCTTTTGAAGGCTCTGAGAAATACTGAGATAGAAAAACCTGTTTCACCTTCCTTAAACACAGAATTCCATAGTACTAATGTTTGTTTGTTTCTTTGGTAAAGATTTTATTTATTTATTTATGTATGTATGTATGTATGTATGTATGTATGTATTTATTTATGTGAGAGAGAGTGCGAGCGAGAGAGCACAAGAGGGGGGAGGGGCAGAGGGAGAAGTAGACTCCCTGCTGAACAGGGAGCCCGATGTGGGACTCCATCCCAGGACCCTGGGATCATGACCTGAGTCGAAGGCAGACGCTTAACGACCGAGCCACCCAGGCGCCCATAGTACTGATGTTTTAAGAAATGCACTTTGGAAAATACAACCATGTCATTCACAGTGGAAATCAGAGTAGGATCTTAGACACTTAGTGCTGACCCAATGTAGTTTGAAGAACAAAGAACATAATGCTGGGTGCATAATGCTGGGTTCCTTGTTTCTGATCTAGGGTGCCCATCACCAGCTGCCTAACCGTATAGACTTCTTGTCATCCGGTCAGACTAACTACTCAATTTATTTGAAAGGAAGCAGGTCAGGAAGACAAGTATTTGAGACACACAGACAAGTCGTGGATCCATCCCTCCAAATGGATACAGGTCAAGGTCACACCACAGTACGGGATAATAGCCACCACAACCCTGTAGCAGTGGTCAGAGAGGGTGTTGCACAGGGACACGGAAGGGCCCGGCAACTCTCCTCCCCTTTGGGGGTTCAGGTGTGTGTGGATCTTTTCTTTGTATAACTTCATCATCGTCTTCACTTGCCCACGCCCTTCTCTACAGCCCCAGTCATGCCACAGTCTGTTCAGTGACGGACTGTGAGCTGAAAGAGAAACAAAGGTGGTGGAATGGAAAGAACTCAAGTCTGGACTCACACTGACCTGTGCTGACTGTCACTTACTAGCTTACTAGGTGTGTGGCCCCAGGCAAGTGATTCCACACTGCTGAGCCTCGGTTTTCTGCTTTGTGGTGAGATTTTGAGAGGAGATGTGTTAAGTGTTTGGCCCTCGCAGATACTCAGTGCCTGACAGCGGTGGTTAATATGTTAATAATATTGACAGGATTACTGCCAACAATGACACACAATGGACTAATCGTACTACATGAGATCGAAGAGGTCAGCTAGTTCTCTCTTCTCACTGAAGGGTGGCTAGTCTTCCTTTGAATTATTGTGGAGAAGAAAGTTTGGTTCCACAACTATTTCTTGAACACCTACTCTGTGCCAACTCTTAACAAGATTTATGGACACAAGATTTGGGGGCAACCTCTAAACATCTCTGAATTTAGCAGGGGCATTCAACAAATAAATAGGTAACTCCCCTTCCAATGTGATACCAACGATAATACTAATGATACTGGGACTAGAGTGAGGTGAGAGAGGCACTCATTTTGGGCAAGAAATTATGGTGGGTGCCCAAAAGCTCAGTTATCAAGATACATATTTTAATACAATATTTTAAAAAAACATAAATGCAGGAAAAATCCATGATGAACAAAGCATCAAGATTTTCAACAGGATCTGACATGGCATGTGCATGACTTGCCTCACTTGCCTCCCCCTGGTACCCACCACCACACCATGGGGCAAACATTTATTGGACCCTTACTATGGGTTCTGTCCCTTACTACCCACATGACGGACCTCAAGTAGGTTACTTAACCTTGCTGAGCTTTAATTTTCTTATCAGTAAGAGTAATAGTAATGGGATCTACCTTGGTAGAAGGATTAGGTAAAATGATTTATGTAAAACACTTAGCAGAGAGCTTGGCACATAGTAGGTGCTCAGTAGGATTAGCTAGTTATTAAGCTCAAAAGGGTTGAGTTAACTGGCCCAAGGCTGCACAGCTGGTGAGGGGCACTGCTGGGATACAAAGGCAACCTACTGAGATATCAGGCGCCCCAAGTGGCTAAGATATGCCCAGGGTGTCCTGGGGCAGGGGAGGAGGAAGGCACTGAGCTTAGCTTGGAGGGTCATGGAAGATCATGAAAGGCTTTCTGAAAGAGCTTGCCCGTCATCATCCTTGTCATCATATGTACCTGATGTCATTTCAATCCTCTGAGTTATTCTAAGAAATCACTAGAAGGCAAACTCCACGAGGACAAGGGCCTGGCCCCTTTCTCTTCACTCTTAGATCCCCAGTGTCTACAACAGTGCCTGATGTGTAGTAGTAGCTCAATAAATATTTGTTGAAGTAACGAATGAATGAGAATGATTACCTCAGAAACCTATTCATTTTTATTTTTATTTTTTTAAAGATTTTATCTATTTATTTGAGAGAGAATGAGAGATAAGAGAGCAAGAGAGGGAAGAAGGTCAGAGGGAGAAGCAGACTCCCTGCTGAGCAGGGAGCCCGATGCGGGACTCGATCCTGGGACTCCAGGATCATGACCTGAGCCAAAGGCAGTCGCTTAACCAACTGAGCCACCCAGGCGCCCACCTATTCATTTTTAAAAAAATAACTCTCTAGCCACTGGTTTCACCTTGATTCTAATTGTACTGGAGTATTCACAGTTGCCATTTGGAGAGATTGAGATAAGAAAACAACATAAAATCTATCCAAGAAAAGCTCCGTTAGATTCTTGAAGACTAGATTCCCACTAGACCAAGAGAACAACAAAACAAGTTGTGGGAAGTTTAAGAACATCATTCCCATATGATGTCCGACCCTCCTTCCACTAATATTGTTATATTTGCGGAGAGTATGGAGAGTATTATCAATATGTGAGACATAATATCTCTGATGCAAAATGGAGACATATTACCTAGGTGGCTAACTCAATGCAGAAAAGAATTTCTTAAAAAATGCAAATCTGTGATAGGGCAACTGAGCAGAACCATAAGGATAAGTTTCCCAACTATGGAAATTTTAATAGCTAGAGTTACTGCTGTGAAAGTCTTAAATCAACTGGACCCAAAATCAGTTATAGGCTTCACATCACGTTATAACAAAACTAGATTCCACTGCATTGGGACAAAAGGGATTATCCACTGTCCCTAGGGGATGATGGATAGAGAAGGGGTGGAAAGAATTGGTAGGGCACAGAAAAATGTGACATACTAATTTTATTTTTCCTCCATTGACAAAAGTGTGGCTATTTCTTGCTATTTATTCTGACGTCCCAAGGTTTGACTGTGACCTCAGAAGGCAACAGGACTTTCTGCATACCATAGTTTTGTCAAGTTCGGTCACTGCTGAAACCGTGTATATCATACACTTCGTAATATGTTTGGTCACACAAATAGTCAAATAGACACTTTAAAGTTTAAAACAAAGTGCACTTAAATTTTTTTTTTTAAGTTCCTGAAACTTAACCATCTTGAAAAAGCAGGAGGTGGGGTTAATCATTTTCATAAGGCTGCAAGAAAGGATTTGGAAGTATTGATATGCAAAGGTCACATCACAAATTTATTATGCATGCTTAATATGTTTTAGAAGGTATACAAATTACACATCAGACGTACAGAATGTGTCTACCTCTTCGCCATCCAGCCGAGAAATAAAGCTTTATCCGCTCTGTACAGCTCTGCACTCCTGTGTCTGCCTCCCTCCCTCCCACCACAAGATGTCCTTTTCCTAAATTTTGTATAAATCATCTCCACATAGATCCTTCTAATTTTACTGGGTGAATCATGCAAACTATTGCTCTGCATATTTTGAAACTTTATAAACAGTGTCATTGTAGTGTATGTATTCGTTAGCA